TTACATTTTAAACATTGAAAGTTCTAATGATATACTGCTGTCATCTGGTTTAATTGTTGATACTATGGAAGAGATTTGGGTTCATTGGGGGGCTCCCATGGAGGGTTGGATCAAGATTAATATTGATGCATCCTGTCGAAACAATGGCTCGGATTTGGCTTGTGGTGGAGTAATGAGAGATAGCTTTGGGAATTGGTTGCAGGGTTTCAATAAAAATCTGAGCCATGGTACTGTGTTTATGGCAGAATTGTGGGGCTGTGTGATTGGGGTGGAGTGGGCTTGGCAGCAGCAACACAAATGTGTGATCTTGGAGGGGGACTCTTTGGTGGCTAATCAATTGATGGTGGAAGGGTGTGTTGATACTCATCCCTGTTATTCTCTTGTGAATAGAATTAAGAACCTCCTTAACCGTAATTGGCAGGTACATATTTTACATACATATAGAGAAGGCAACCGAGTGGCTGATTGGATGGCTAAACTCAGAGTTGATACGGAATGAGATATTCATTGGTTCAGCTCTCCTCCGGATGGCTGTGGGGACATTTGTTTAGAAGACTGTAGGGGCACTATGCTGCCCAGAACTGTTGCTTTGTCGTTTTTGCTTTGTCGTTTTTGCTTTGTTATCCAAAAAAAAAAATTGTTCTTTTCCATCTTATAAGCTTAAACTCACATAGTTGGGACTTTTTCTTGTTAGTTTATAGTATGGAATTCAATATCCCATGATAAAATATCCTTTTTCCATTCCCTACCCCCTCCATGAATCAATGAATCCCTTAGTCGATCGAGGTTCTTTAGGCTTCACTGTGGTAGTGAGGAATAAATCTTTAGTGTTACTGTTGCACCAAAGATTCAGTACATCCCACCAATAGAAATATTACATGTCAGTTAAAATTTTCTTTTCTCTGCCAAATTTTTTCTCTCTCCTATAATGTGTAATGCTTCCATTGGTGGGATGCACTGAATCTTGGTGCAACAATAGCACCAAAGATTTATTCGGCAGTGAAACCACTTCTAAGCTCTACCAGAGTCTAGTACACGTTTTTTTTTAAAGTTATCAATATTAGTTGATAGGATATGAAAATAAATACGGAAAAGTATAGAAGATGATCCACTAAAATATATGAAAACATATTAACGATTAATCTTAGCATCGATTAAACACAGCTTTGCTGGATGGTTAAAAGAAGTAAATATTTAATAATTGGTGGGTTTTTTTTTAAAAAAGTTATGCTTTTTGTTCCTTTGTTTTTTTATGGCTATCATTATTTAAAGGGAAAATGTGTGTTATTTTAAATGACACATTTTATATCATTGCACTTTCACAAAGATGTGGGACTTACACCTTTAAAAAATTTTCCACCCATTCTCTCTCCCATTATTTATCTCTTTCTCTCACTTAAAATGACACAACTTCGTGTCCTTTAAAATGATACACATTTTTCTCTTATTTAAAAAGGTAAGATATATTTTTTATTTATTTTAAATTGTTTTTGTCAACTTTATAATGCCTTAGGAGTGTAAATACTATATTGTAGTATAAAAATTAAAACGGGTGAAAAAAAAAGGTAGAGTTAATTTGGACTTGGCTCATTAAAGGGTTACACGTTGTCTCCCCAATAGTGAGCACATGTGAACCTCACCTAAGAGGATCTCACTCTGGCACAATTCATCCATCGTCCACTTTCATGATTGAGGTGCAATTCCTCACACTCAACAATTAGGTAGTGGACAAAACAGTTAGGGTCTTTCTTTCATATCATTAGAGAATATTATCCCACCTATATATACACCTCTTTACCACGTGAAGAGGTATTATGCATCCATTACTTTCATAAGTTGTTACTCTGCTGAATTATAGAGTCACTATGCCCTTACATATTCCCCTTCCCTCAATCATACTTGAGATAACACTCTCGACCTAAAGGTTTGGTTCACACTACTGCCTCCTTGAGCATTTACATAGTGATAACATTAAATAAAGAAATAACCAGAGAACGTATTACAGTAAATGTGATAGAAGAACACCCAGAGGAAAAAATTCCACTCCAAGACAATATCCCTAGCCTTGAGAGCTTCCCTATTTCCTCCCCCAATTCCCCATCCTAACTCTCCAAATTACAAAATAATATTCAGCATAAAGAAACCCCATCCTAAACATCTATATATAGCTAGTTCCTAACTAATGCGCTTGGATATTTTATTAAAGGTCCATCAATACTCACCTTTTAAAACTCACCTTGTCTTCAAGGTGAAGAGAAAGGGCAGATAATATTTGGGAAATTTTCACCTGGGTCCCATTGTTTAAAGCATACTCACCTTGACCTACTTGGGTAACTTAGTAGGACTTGGAAGCTTCACGGAATACTTCCAATAACTCCATAATCGCTCCTTCTTGGGCACATGATAGCTTCTCGCCCCCCTCCATTTGCTCAACCTTTACTTCTACGCCTGATGAGTCAAGCCGAATGCCCTTGCACGTAGGGGTATTCATCAACCGATCCAAACTAATTCAAACTGCGAAACCGATAACCGAATAAACCGAAAATCGAAAAAAAAATCGCAAATTTTAAGTGGATTGGATCGATTTTCGGATGAGTTGATGAAAACTGATCCAATCCAAACCGATCCAATATATTAATTCCCCTCTACCTACTTGGGTCTTTCCCAAATCATAGCCCAAAAATTTCTAAACCCAAGATCCATTATCCCATCAACTAAACCCAAGAAAAAACCTAGTCACATCTCATCAATAAAATTTCATCTATGTAGAACTTCATATCTCATTGCCAAAAAAAACTATAATATCGTTTACTGATGCTTTTATATTTCAATTTTTTTTTTATAAAGCCTATTATACAGAAGATGTTATTTGCACAATAACCATGAAACAAATTTTAGAATTTTCAAAAAGCCGAAAATCGATCCAATCTAAACCGAAAAAAATTGGATTGGATTGGATCGGATCGGATTTGAAAAAAAATCCAAATTGAATGGATGATTACATGATCAAAACGAAGGGATTGGATAGGATGACTTTTGCTTCCAAAACTGACCCAATCCAGACCGCGAACACCCCTACTTGCACGTCCCTCGACTATGCACATTGTTTACACTGCCTATGGCTGCCAAATATGTATTCTCTGGTACTAAACCCCCCACACCCAACAACATAACTAGCAAGCTTGGGTTGTGACAAATATAGTCTGCAAAGCAGTCACACCTCTTCTTCATCTCTTCTAGCAAAAATTCTTCATTATAAATATGGTTCTCAGAATAAGTGACGAAGGCAGTGGGTGTGACTGAGGATGATAAACTAGGTTGGAAGAAGCGTTGTGACGTTGTGGTAGATGGTCTAGGACGTTGTGGATAAGTGACTGAGGACCCGAACTTGTGTAAGACATTGGGCCATGACTTGTATAAAAGAAAGTTGGACGGACATATGGTATTGGGCTTGGGCCTGAACAGATATAAGAGAAAGGTGAACCCATATATTGGGCTGAATGTGAAGAAGCCCAATGAGTATGAGATTGGTCTATAAGAATAACAGGGTGAGAGGTTTGAGCTTATGGACCCATGGTTGTAGGTTGTGACGGAACCACCAAATTATTATCAAAGCGCCACCAACATGTCACAGTTTGCGACACGACCCATTCACGTTCTTTCTCCCGTTCTTCGATTCCTTGTGCAAGCTTGAGCACGTGTTCCTTCCCTAAATTTTCTATTGTGGGTAACTGCATTTCTGCTGCTGCCTCAACATTCTCTTCTTCCTCGTGATCTTCATCCTCTTGCACTTCTTCTTCTTCTTCTTCCCTAATTTCTTCTGCTTTTTTATCTGAGTTTCGAAGTGTTCCTTCGTTTATGCTTCCTCCCCTTCCTTCTCCATCGTCTTTCGCTCTGCTTCCTTCTTTTTCTTCTTTTATTTCTTCTTCGATTTCTTCTTCTTTTTTACTTCCTTTTCTTATTCTTCTTTTTCTTCTTCTTTTTCTTTTTTTGATTTATTCTTCTTCTTTGGTTGATGCTTCTTTCTACATCTGTTTAAAACAATATGTTCGACTTTGTTTCTGAAACCAAAAAACAGAGTCATCTTCTTCGTCTGCAACCTATTTCTAAAACCTAGCCTTGTGTCTGATCTAGCAAAACACTGATCAATACGGTCTATTATTGTTCAAATAGTTTCCTAAAGTTGACGAAAAGCGCCTTCAACTCCATCCATTCTTTCTTCCAAACGATCGAAACTCCTCTCAATCTTTGTCAATCTATATTTCATTTTTTTTTCTTTTAGATCTGGAGCAGAAAGAAATATCCAAAGAATGTATTACAGTAAATGTAAGAGAAGAACACCTAGAGGAAAAAGTCTTTGCAAAAAATTCCTTCACCAATGGGTCTAAGCGACAAATCACAATAAGTGGGCCAATACCGTATCTCAACCCAAAACCTTAAGGCTATAGGTCTATGGGTCTTTTGCACTTATATGGTCCTCACTTGGTTTATGTTTAACTAACGAGAGACTTTATTACTACTTACACTAGAATATTTCTAATAATATTCAGCATAAAGGAACCTAATCCTAAACATCTATATATAGCTAGTTCCTAACTAATTGGATATTTTATTAAAGGCTCGTCATATATTATCATTGATGAGTCGGAATGGTAACTCACACTAAGTTCAGAATTTTAATATCTATAAATTACTTTATTTTATGTTTTCAAAGAAAATATATGAAGTCTTGGAGTTCAATTGAAGTATCCTATATTTCCAGCCGAGACAATATGAGATCACTCTTGCTTGAAGTTACCGCCAAACCATTGTTAACCACAAACTCAAATCATTATTCTTTATACACATCAGTTCATCTTTCAGAAGCAAACACAAGAGTAACATATTACAATCTGAAAGCTCAACACAAGCACATAGGGAAAAAAAGTATGAATAAATTACAACATAAAATGATTAATAACCCAAAAGGCCAAACCATTTCAAAATGCATTACACAATAATCAGAATGTACCCTTTAATTTATAAATGTTAAGCATGTTAATAATAGAAAGTGATATAGCAGAAAGCTGAAAGGTATCCTTGTTTCTCTTTGTTAATGGCGAAATGACACCATTCTTTTGCTCGAATCCATCTTCACATGTTGTAGAGGCATCAATGACTGAGCTTAGTTTGACATTAGAATCAGCATAACGCTTAGCTTTGTAATCTCTAATTGCTTCTCTAAGAGTTAAGATGGAATCAGAATAAACTTCAAGGCAATCATCTAAGCATGCTTTGATAAAGGGGTCTAAGTTGTTCTTCTTCAAAAGCTCTTTGATGTGAGCGCTAGTGTTTGTCACGTTGTGCCTAATTAGCTTGATAGAGATAAGGCCTAGTTCATTGAGGTTTTTGGCACATTGGCTCCTATGGTCTGATTGAAGAGATGTAATGCAAAATTTGTAGTTTATGTTGGGATCAGTTTCTGAGCAATTCTTGCAAGTTTGTTGGATGAGATGGTTAGTAGAAACAATAGAATGAAAAAAACAAAAGAGGATTGTGAGAGAGAGCAAAAGGAAAGAGGGATGGTGCATTTTCTTTGTTTAGAGTATTAGACTTACCTATATTTTATTTAGGTAACATTGTAACATATAATTTATAGGTGAGGGAAATAAATGTGTAGTTGTTGGAAAGATTGTTCTTTCTTAATTTATGGGGCAGAGAAGGAATGCTTATATGAGAATATATGTAAGTTGTCATCTAAACAAGAAGGAATTAGAAGCTAAGCTAATTCAGCATCATTAAAGGTGGATGAATAATGCCCAAAAACTAAAAGAATTGATTGGGATTTTTATTTGCATGGAGAAATTGATAGGATTCTATAGAGGGAGTCAGGGAGAGATATGCAAATAGTTACGCAAGGTTTATGCAGTTATCTTGCCTTTTAAACGATTTATAACAATGATTTAAGGGTAAATCACACTTTATTCTATTCTCCTCCCAATGGCTCTCATACTACCCAGAGAAGCACTAGTCATGCCTAACCATCTCGCCTAAGCATCATGGCAACAGCTCATTAATCTTTCTCTCTCTTCATAAACATCCTCCATCTTTAACTGTGTGGTTAGATCCAGTCCAATTGGTGTTGGATTGATCTTGCACTATTTTAACAATCAAATCGGAAATTCAACCAACAACGCTTCTGTTAACGGTTTGATTAGTACATTCAGTTAAATTTATAGTTAATCTGTAATTAAACAAGTAATTCACGATTTGATCATTTTAATAGGTCCACTGAGTCTATATTTTAGTGATAAGTGTTACTGGCTAAAATCATGAAAGTAAAAAGGAAAAATTACAATTTAATGGCCACAACAGCGGCAATCGAATTTCGGGACAAAACTTGAACAATTGTCATATTATTCCATTTGGGATTAATTTTATGGAAAACAAATTTCTGCTTTTAATGTAAAAAAAAATTATGTCATAAGTGAGTATGTCCCATTATTAAGAGAAGAGAGAGAAAATATTAATGAGACTTATTTACTCTTATATAAGTGTAGCAGAGAAAATTTTTTTACAATAAAAACAAAAATATTAAACTCATTATTATTATTATTTTGATTCAATGACCTGAAAAGATTAGTGAGATCTACACACTCATTTTTATAGAAGTGTGGCCGGAAAAAAACAATTCTTCGATAAAAATAAAAATGTTTTCCCCAATAATAATGATTTTTCTCTTATATAATTTCACGTGACCATATTATTTGAAGAGTTTTTAACTTTTAATAAACAAATCAACGATGATAAGGAATAAAAAGAAAATATTGGCATACAAAGTGGAGAAAAAATCAACGATTATGAACCCTTTATATGATCCAGCAAAATTACATATTACATGATCCATTTAAAAAAAAAGGGAAATTATTTTCCTTGCAATAAAAGATAAAATTATCTCTAACAAGCTCAAAATGATATTATTTCGGTATTTAGAAGGTTTTTTTTTAATAATTTTACTTTTCTTTTGTATCATGTATTTTATTAAAATATCATTTTTTTCTTAACTCCAAAATAACCATGTTTGGGAGGGAGTGTTTTCTAAAGATGCCTACCTAAATCTGATAGTAGGGTAAATGTATTTCGACATCAATCTCATCCAATAGATAGCTTTCCGTTTCCCACGTGATATATGGTATTCCTGGAAACCTACCAATCTGCTTTATTTGGTGATTGTCCAAAAGACTTGGGTACCCCCACTTTAAGCGCGCGAAAGGACAAATTTCGGATCCAGAAGAATGAGTGCAAATGATATTGGGGGAACACCAAGATACTTTCGATGTTATTGTACCTCAGAATACTTCGATGTTAGCCACTAATTATTGTGCAACTGGTATTGTTGTCCCTTTCCACCATTCACTTAATAAAAGGTTATTTTGGTAATATCAAAAAATTTCCCCATCTATATTTTACTTACATCCAAACATAGACTTTATAAAAGTTACCTAATTTTCCTATCAAAATTTTATCTAACCAAACAACTTTTTTTACATTTTCCTACCAAACTCATATTCCAACTATTTTCCTATCAATTACATTTCCCTAGTATTCATAAAAATTTATCCTCAACCAAACGTCCCCTTAGACAAAATGAGGATTATATTTCTCATGTGTGGATAAAATTCACTAAAAAGAAGAAGAAAGAGAAGTAAAAAAACTTATATTAGATATTTTTATTTCGTTTGTCTCATGTAATATATACCCCTTTAAAACATGGGTTTTACTTCTCTCATGTTGTATAAGAGAAGCTATCTCATGTTGTGAGATAAATTAAATGAGGTCCACCAATTTTTAAAAAAAGAAAAAGAAAAGAAAAGAGAAACATGTCTTTTTATGTGAGTATAAAATGAGATAACAATCTTATGTAGCATAAGAGTATAATTTTCCTTAAAACATATTACAATTTAATGTTTTTTCTATAATTTTTGAAGTGGATAAACAGCAGAAAAGTTAAACCCCAAGACAAAACCCTTTACCTCAAAACCCGTTGCGTTGTTGTTGTTGTACTCACTTGTCACATTGTTACCAAAACAAAAGAACCAGAAGCACAGAGAGAGAGACACACCACATCAATGGCGAATCTTAGAACAGCCATTGATTCAGCGTTTTGGGACTTGAACATTGCTTCACCTCAGACCTTAGATGGTTGGGCCAAAGCTGTTCCTGGAGACCCTTTTCCTCTTGACGCTTCTGTTGCAAGCAGACTCCTTCGGCCTCAGCAATTCAATTTCTTCTCAAATGCCTTGTCTCATAGGATTATCCCTTCTCTCTCTCCCACTTCTCCTAAGGATTTGGGTTCCTTCTCTCTTCAGTCACTCTTCAAAATTTTCTCCCCTCCTTGGTAATGTTTCCACTAACCTTTTTTTTGTTTTTTTTTAATTTTTTTGTGATTGTGACCATATGTGTGTGTTTTGGTTTAACGAACCTGGTGGAAAATGGGTTCTCAAGCATTTTAATCTTAATGGGTCATTTTTGTTTCTCAATGGTCCTTTGTTTCTTGGGTCTATCCTTAAAATTTCAGGTACTTTGACACTGATGAATGAAATAATCATTTTATATTTTATATTTTTTTTCATACAAATAAGAATTAAACACTTAACCTAATAGACCTACCCAAACCCCTCACCACTAGACCACTCATAATGGCTTTTTTTTTTTTTTTTTCCTTTTTTCTTTTTTGTTTTGAATGGGACTAAATTTTAAGAAGCTAGGCCATCTAATTTGTTAGCCAATTCTAACTTTTGGGAGTAAATGTGTGTTTGGTTGAATGTGGGGGCAAAAGGGGTTTCAAGCATTTATGTCTGAAAGGGTCATTTTGCCTTTTCAAGGGTCTATGCTTAAAATTTTTCAGTTATTTTGAAACACTGGAGAAAGCTATTTGTTTCTGCTTCTTTTTTAAAATAAGGGTTGATTTTGTTGAAGGGGTTTTTGTTTTTGAGTGGGACTAAATGAATAAGAACCCAAACCCACCCTTTTGTTACTCAAAAGAAGAGGGAAAATGAAAATGTTGTGTGTATATATCTTGAAAATGACAAGTTGATAGTGTATCTCTGTATCTATCATCCAATCCCCAATTCTTGAAGAGATGTTGAGTGCTGTTGTCATTTTCAAGGGGTGTAATGTAGCATGGAGAAACCATATACATAATAGAAAAGAAAAGGATATTTCATTGCACCTACTTGGATTATATATTTTAATGACTGTGAGTGTAAACGTTCAGTTGGATTCTTTCTTTGGGTTCTCTTGTGCTTATTATTATTTGTTTTGTTTATCCTTTTGTTATTATTTTCTGATAAATATGAATAATATAAAACAGTTATGTAGTTTATGTATTCAGTGAGTTGTTAAAATCTTGTTGAGCATCTAAGTTTTACTCATTCTTTCAGTTCTATTGGTTATGTTTGTTATACTTAAGCATAAGTTTGTGTTTATGTTATACATAACTATCTATTTCATATATTGGTTCTGTTTATGCATTCTATTTATAAATATCTTTATCTCTAAACTTTAACAATTTTTTTATTATTTATTTCTTTACTTATGCTGTCCTCTCTGTTATTCAACATTTCTACTTTTCTTTTTCTTTCTTTTTTAATTTTCCCCTGTATTACATTGTGGAATGTGTGGAGAATTTCATGTTTTCTATTTCTCTAGGTTATATTCAATATGAAAAGATTTCCATAGTGATGTTAACAGTCTACTAATGAATGATTTTGATTTATTTTAATTTTTAACAGGTTTATATAATCTCAATATCTCTGTTTGAGTCCCATCTTTTCCATTTTGTAGTTAACTGAACAGGTCCATCAACTTATCTACTACAAACTTTTTCCTATTTTTAGTCCCATCTAATATTCCAGAGAATTCTCAAACCTACATTTGACATATATTGTTTACACTCCAAAATGAGAAATTTGATGGACATGACAAATTTTGAATCTCTGATTTCATGCCCACCCTTATTCTTCAAAGAGTAGTGGGTGTCATGAGACACAATGAACATAAACTCCTTTGCCATAATTCTTCATTGTTAGAAATATGCTTAGAGACACAAATGAGAGTCAAAACTAGCAGTGTATTGTTAGTTTACACTGTTTGAACTGATTGCATATTGTTACATCATTATCAATCTCAACTCTTCAATTTACTCATACTGCTTTTATATATTTATGGTCAATATAGGTGGCTTGCAATGACTGGACAATTTCGTCCCAGGAAGCTGATTACTAATATAAAAAATGAGATTTCTAATGCTGATGAATTTGATCTCTCCACAGTCAAGGATGTTGCAAAGCATTTCATTGACAAGTCACTTTTTTCGTTTGGGTTAACCTCGCAGTTTACTTTTCCTACCTCAACATCCATGCTGTTTTCTGTAGAGAGTCATGGTGAGAAAGAAAAACGCCGCTACAAAATGATGGCTTTTCACAAGGCACGGAATCTAACTGCTTGTCATTATTTTTCATTGTCTTGCATGAACATTTAAACATGTTAGGCTTTCTTTATATTCTCAAAAGGTTGAGTATGACTTGTTTTTATTTAATTTATGGATTGTTTTTCCTCCTTTTCTGATATAGAAAAATACCTTGCTACTGTAAATACTGGAGATTGGAACATGCAATGTGTGTGGTAATTGTAAAAGTTAAAATTTGTTATTTGAATGTCAAATTTTAGTAAGTTACTGAAAATTTGATATTTCAATTTTAACTATCCCATCTCCTAAGGGGTTTGGGTGAAAAAAAAAGGCGAACATATGCTTAGGGGTGTGCAAAATAACCAAAAAACTAAACCGAACCATGAACCAAACTGAGCTGCACTTAAAATAACCGGTTTTTAAAAACCAGTTCATGAACTGAGCCGGTTTTTAGAACCAGTTTAAGAACTGAACCATTTTCAAACCGAACCAAATTGATTTTTATAACTTTATTTTTTAAATTTTAATTTTTTTTCTTTTCAAAATAGGGTCGACCCGAACCGGTTCCGAACCGAACCGTTTCCAACCGAATCGAATCAGTTTTGAACCGAACCGAACCGAACCATTTTCGAACCGAACCGTTTAAACCAATTCGGTTCGGTTTTTCAAAAATTTCAGTTCGGTTCGACCCATGCTCATCCCTACATATGCTTGGGAAGAAGTCAAACTTGAAATTTTATTGCTTGGTTCTATTTTATTGCCATCCAATTCAGATAGCAGAGTGGTTGAACTTTTGACTATTGTGGGTGTATCTACTAGTACCATGTAGAGTAGGCCTTCTGAAAATTTTGGTAAATTTTGGGTGTGTCCTTATAATAGGGAATTTTTTTACTCATTTATTTGCGCGAAGTTGGTAGGAATTTTGTCCTTTAGTTGGTGTGGATGGCATCTATCTGGTGCTTGTCTCATGGTTTCTTTAAGGTAATCTCACTGACAGATACAGTAAGTGATTAAAAAGCTTAATTGTATTCATGAGTATTTTTTTTTTATTTTTATTTTTTCTGTTTTGTGTTAATCTGGGATCTGGTAGGGAGGATTTCCTTGTCTTGTTTTTTTGTTTGTACTCCTTCATTCCTCTAAATTCTAATGAGCTTTCTTCATTTAGTTAAACGATCAAAATAATATTTCTTCTAAAGTGTTCTTTATTAGTTTCTTTATCTTTTTATTCATTTTTAAATTGTTAATTTGCACATGCAAATTCTTCATCTCGATGTTGCTCTGTAATTGCATGTCATGCTCTCTTTTTGGTCTTTTATTCTCTATTATATCTTCTTCTTTTTTAATTTTAATTGTACTATGGTGCTTGAGCCTATAATGAAAGATCTCAGAAGGCAATGTTTCTATGCAGCTTCCTGATCATGATCTTACATTGGAGGCAGCATGGCCTCAATTGTTTGTTGACCACAAAGGAAAATATTGGGATGTCCCTGAGTCTCTGTCTGTTGATTTGTCATCACTTGTGTCTGATTCTGGATTGCGATACCACTTTGGGATACATAAAAATGGTGGTAATCCCCAGGCAATGAATGCAACTGATGGCAACCCGCCACTGCCTCTACTGCCAGGGTTATGTGCAAAGGCTGCCTTTACTTATGAAAAGATCAAGTACTTCTGGAGAGATATGGAGGCTGAGGAGGATGACGAACGACAGATAGACAAGGTGCTTCCATATGATGTGCGTCTTAAGGGACCTCATGCTGCGGTATCTGGAATTTTGGGTAATTTCTGTAGATTGATGTTTATCATTACTTAAGATGAGAATCAGTATGTTCATTGTTCATGTAATTGTCAATCACTCTTTTTCATTCTTGTGGTGTGGTTTACATGTTTCTTTAATTTTTTTCATTTTTATTTTCATTTTGTTGAAATTATAGGGCTTAGGTAGAGAAAATGGAAAAGAGTGGAAAGGAATACTCATTAATAAAATTATATTGATTAGTGTATTATAATTTAGGGAGAGTGTAAGCTTGGAGCAGTGGTAAAGATGCTCCCTTGTGACTGAAAGGAAATGTGTTCGAATTTGGAAAATAGTCTTTTAGCAAATATGTAAGAGTAAGGTTACATACAAATATTTCCCTCATCCCTACCCGCATTAGTTGGGGTTTAATAGAGAGTGATTTTAGTGTGTTGTGATGTGATATGAAATGCAGAACACTAACTCCTATTTATACTAGTACTAGACTCCTAATCCTAATCAAATAGGAAATGAATTAGGAAATATAGTGAATGACAACCACTTCTAAAAGATCATCAAGATACTCTAAATTATTATAAGTGCACTCAAGATAATATGAAACATTTTCTAGCTATTCTAACACATTTATTGTGTTGATTATTATCAACCTTCTCTTATTGATAAGTTTTTTTTTTTTTTTTAATGTGATCTTTCCCCAAAAATTAAGAAAAAACCAAATATGCTAATAGTGGGTGCATATAACTGCTCTTGTATTCCTCTTTTGCATAAGTTACAAATTCCTGTTCAAATAGGCTGTTTTCATATATGGAATCAATATGACTGAATTCAAGGAATTCCTTTGACTGGATAAATTTCCCTTGATTTCCTTACTTTTTTCCGTCATTGGCGAATTGATGGCTGATAGATGGGTTAACAAGTTTGTGACAATTATATTATACTTATTTTAGTTTTGTTATTGGTTCATAATACAATATAGGTAGCACCTGTGCTTCCTGGATTTGGAATGGGAGGAACTTTTCTGGCATTGATTCAGAAAATCTAGAGGGGTCAACAAGAAGCAAGAGATCTCGACTTAATGCTGATTTGTTTGGTTCAGTTTGCTATACTTTTCAGCATGGAAAATTCACAAAGGATTTTGGGGACTTAACCAGGGTAGATGCTCGTCTAGACATATCTTCAGCTTCAGCACTGGCAAAGAAGATTATGAATGGTTTCAAAAGTTCTACTGCTGATGTTACTGAACAGGCATCAGCCTCACCCCGGCTTAATTTGATTTTTCAACAGCAGGTTCATTTTCTTTTTCCTTGATAGGAGCAAGTAGCTCTTTGTGTGTTTAGTTTGGGTGTCTTTAATCAAGAACAAGTTTTAACTGCAAAGCATTTAATTGAGTAGTTATAGTCTTAGAATAGTTCCCTTCTGTAGAATCCTATATGTAGCTTATCCAATGAACAAAACTTGAAGCTAGACACATGAAGTTATAATGTTGTTCATGACTTTCACAGTAGGAACTAGAATTGCATGTACCTTGTGCAATGATGGAGCGAGGGAGGGACTAGGGTGGGCAGTTGCCCCTTTTATGCTCATACAAGCCTTTAGTTGTATCAGAGTATGATATAAAAATCATTAATGTAGTCTCACCTAACAATTTAAGTTTTGGGGTTAAGAATTATTCTTTACATGGTATTAGAGCTTTTGTAAGTTGTAACCAAATAGTTACGAGTTCGATTATCACTGTCCCCCATTCTATTAATAAATAATTAATATTGTGGAGTTTCTTAGCACAAGTAAGTGGGCCTATATATTATTTACCCTTCAAGCCCAATCGGCTTCCATGTGAGGAGATGTGTTAGAAAAATATGATATAAAAATCATTAATGTAGATTCATCTAACAGCTTCAGCTTTTATTGTCTACTTGTAGGTTGGAGGGCCAGTTGTCTTTCGCGCAGATTCCCGAATTTTGCTTGAATCTTTTACTAGGAAACATGGTGTGTCTATGGAGGATTTCATTTGCAGCTTGAGTTACTCCTTTAGGTCTCTGCAATCTGGAAAGGTAGTTGCTTGGTATTCTCCAAAAAGGAAAGAAGGAATGGTTGAGTTGCGCCTGTTTGAGTTTTAGACCTTTTTTTGTAACTCTCAAGTATAGACATTTTAATACAAGAAGCCCAACATGCTTGCTTTAAAAGCTGTTTTTGTTTATCATTGGCTCTTGTTATGTGTTGCATGCACCAGATGATATACTGAAACTCAACATCAATGATTTTATAATGCCTAGAAGTTTAGTTAGTTGATTCTTTGTGCTACCCTTTTTTGATTTTCTTTCTTTGGTATTAATAAAGAGAGATGTTTAGTTGGGTGGACCAACCAACAATAGCAAAGCGAACTACGTTGTTGTCATGGTTCAACAGAGATACAACTTTAAAAGAGAATCAAAATAGCACTTCTAGAGACACCATGGACTAAAGTGAATTAGCAGAAGGTAATACTGATCACCTCGGATAAGTATTAGAAACAGTATCGCACACGAAGGAGAAGTCATAAGCTTCTCCCAACAGCTTTTGACTTTTTTTTTTCTTCGTAAAAAATTCCTTTAGAAAAAAAATGTATTTGGTTTGTTTTTTTTTTTTTTTAGGAAAAAGAAAAGCTGAGAATAAGTCATCAAATGGTACTTAAAATTGAAGACCAGGATTGGAAGTGATATCTTGTGAATGTTAAATTAAACTTTTCATATTATGATTAAACCATGCTCCTTATTTTAATATAGGGAAAAGCAAATGTCATGTTACAGGCAATTTTTGTTTCCTCCTACTCTCAGTTCGTTCTCTGTGTTAGCTTTTTTCTTCATTTTTTTTTAATATTTGGTGGACCCTACCAAAACATGTCTTTGTAACATGATGTATCAATTTTCCTGTGTTACATGACATTTAAAAAACCCTTTAATATAAGTTCCCCTTTCACCTTTAATTTACCAGAGAATTTGGTACTGGTTCGTAAGTTTTTGGTGATAGGATGCAACTTCTCATATTGGCTTTAGGCCTAAAGCATTCAGAATTAACCTTCATCTGAATGACAGGCTTTGGCCCTTTATTTCAACCCAAAAAATAGAAAAATACAAATCCATGAAATGACTTGAGATATTATGATTAGATTAAAAAATATTAAGGTCTAATATTAGTTTGAACAAAGAAAAGTAAAAAAATGGAGATTCCCCAACAGAGAAGTTTACTTTTGTGAAGGGCTATCGATAAGCACTTAAAACCATCATGCATGGATGATTCAATACTCAAAAGTGAATGAGACACCAATCCAAGATTGTTCAAATACTAAACCTATCTGAACCCCAAAAAACAAATCGAAAAACTGCTATCACGAAGAAGGTACTTATTGTTTAGTCAATAGAATTCAATCCTTTAACAAGAATGCACAAACCTTATCCTTTTAAAAGTGAAGTCATGAACTTGGCGATAAAAGCCAAAGCAAAGGCACAAGTTATTATGACATAACATGAGGAGAAAATTTTAACACCTTTGAAAATGGTACATTTTACTTCTAATACATTTGCAATAAAAGTTATAAAAGAAGGCTGTTCCTTTCTGTTTCATACAGTGGCCAAACCCTATTCAACCACGGCCAATAAGTCACTTGCTTTGCAGAAGCAATGCTTTGCATCAGTCCCCAAATCCACCTGACAAATAATTACACCAAAAACTCATTAATAGCAACAAAAACAATTGATTAATAATGGCATTATAATACTCTAGATTTTTTTCAAGAAAGATGAATCACAACTTCGTTTCTTTAATAGTGACCAAAACATCCACCACATTGCTAACCATGCAATACTTGAAGAGCAACATTTATTTCATTAATGCAATACTGAATACACTTACTATTACAATAAAATAGTCACAATGGATGTAAGTAAACTATAATTGAACATAACAGTACAACTTAGATGCAGTACCATTACCTTTCAGAAGACTGAAAGGAAAGGATATGACAGCACAAAAAAATAAAACGTAAAACAGACAACAGCATAATATCAAAAGGGCAATAACCAATTTGCGTGTACGCCTTGTGCACACAATCCTTAGGCATGAAAATTTGTGCAAAACGATGCTATAAAAAAGTGAGGATATCAATGACCAATGAAAAACATTTAAGTAAAAAGATTGTTTTCTAAATTTGTCTGTGAGTAAAGACAATTTCATCATATATTGGACAAACTCAGCCTAAAAATAAGGTTAAGTTGTAAAGCATTTTCCTGACAAAAGTTAATTAAAAGTCAAACAAGTATGAGATATACCTAAGACAAACAAGAAAAAAAAAGGTTTAGCTAGCACTTGCTCTAATCTTGGATAATTTCATGAGCCAAGCACTGGGGTCAGTAGTATTTTACCCATAAGTTGTTCTTCTGATATAAACATTTCTTCAGTCAGTGATTTATTCATTAAAAACAACTTTTAACAGTTTATGTTACAACTTAGAATATTATCAAATTCATAACATTATCTTTATAAAAGTGCAAAGAAAATATTTTAAGTCACTTACCTCATAAGCATTCATGTCAGTGAATAGTACCTGCAAAAGAATAATTATACTTTATATTTGGAATAAATTCCAGCGAGCTCAAATGATTCAAAACAATACTATTTTTTTTCTTTCTAATTTTGATTATTTTAACAAAGCAATGGTAAAAATCATATCCAATTTAATCGTTATTGACATTACATCATTCAATTCTTAAATTCCTGGCATATGGAACTCCTTTCTACAGCATTTATGTTGGTCGGAATTAATATTTCACCCTTTTTTCAGTCTTCATAGTTTTATTACAAATATTGGCATCTGATCAGTGTTTTGTATCAACACCATTGAAAGTTTTATCATTGAAAAATATTATATGTTTCCTCTCTATCTCTCTCATCCCTGTAATTTCAAAAGTATGCAACTCAATTTGATATATGAACTATTACTATCTATAACCCAATTACCTGCTCATAATAATTCATATAAATGTTTTTCTTATATAATATGTAAGACAAGGCTACCTATGGTTTCTACTAGAAATATAACATAATACATGAAACCAATCATCTGCGTTTTATCTGAGGGCTCATTTGGTGGACTGGATAGGATAATGGTAGGATATGATATGGGACTGATAAGGGTAGGATATGATATGAGGCTGATAAGCCTATATCATGTCCTGTGTTTGATGAGCACCTGATTAGCAATCTAATAAGATTATGTAGAAGGAGAAAAAAGAAAGAAAGAAAAAATATAATGCAATAAATACAAATATATTGGGTAACGTGGGGATATATTGGGTAGCGTAGAGATATATTGGATATTTAATATTGGTATCCTATCCTGTTGAATCCTAACCCAGCTCCCCTCATAGAATAAGAAATCATGCTTTACCAAAAAAAAAATAATAATAATAAGAAATCATGTATTGGATAGGATAAAATGAGACAATAGGATAAGCTAATCATATCCTATTGACCCACCAAACAAGAGATACAAGTAGGATATGATAAGTTATCCTATCCTATCTTCTTTATCCAGTGCTCCAAACAGGCCCTAAAAGTTTAAGCTGTTGGGTGAAAATACATGATCAATTTTATTTTATCTCTTAACACAATCCCCCCGCACGTGAAAACCCTTTAGGATTTAAAGTATAAAAAATGCACAGGCCATCTTCTTTTTCCTGGATGCCACAAACAAGCAATGTGGTGTTTTTTATCAACCAACAAAAATATGCTAACTGCAGCATAAAAATACTATTGCTACTCGTGTGTCAAGAACCATTTCATCATAAAAGCTTAAGCTGTAAGGTGAAAGTAAATGAATTATTTTATATTTTATATTATATTTCTAACATGCTCCCTTACATCAGCCCATTGAACTTAAAGGGTGAATAATACATAAACTCACCTACATGTGCTAAGAAATTTCACAATTTTATTAGAAGAATGGCGAGCAGCAAGGAATGAATCTGGACCACTTAGTCACAAAGGCTTTAATACCATGTCATGAAATGATTACTGCCAACCTAGGCAAACAAAACTGGTTAAAGATCATAGTACTTTCATCTATGTACATTGCACCTAAAGCATTCAAGTTCTTCACTTTTGATGGAGATGAACCTCAAGGTACACGCAAAGCAGCTTATGCCTAGTCATGGATTCCATTCATACAGTTTAGTAATTCACATTAAGAGGGTATTTTAGTGGACATTACTGTTTAGCCTAATTGTATTGCTCAAAACCTGAAGGCCAGAATTCATATGTGCATCGAGTAGATATAGATTACACCCATTTGTCCATATAAAATCAGCAGAAGCAAGCATTCATCCGGCTTTATATGTTTTTGCCCTTCCCAGCTTGCATACAAGAATTTTCCTCACCCCTACCCTCGCAAGATTTCATGGGAAGTGGTCTATTTTTTTTATATGGGTAATTATATGAACTCAAAAGTTGAGGTTTTCACTCCTCCAGAATTTTCAAAAACCTTCTCTGCATATTTCGAAGTTAGTATCAAAGCCTCAACACCCACTAGTTTGATCCTTGTCGACCTACAAGATGAGCCTTTGCATTATCCACACGTCAAAGTCAAAAACATTCTTGTGTGATGGGACATATTAGGTGTATAACCATTCATTAGCTTCAAATAATAACTTGAACTTTACAGGGAATTGGTCATTCATAAGTGATAACATTAACTTACGATGTAACTGTAAACTGGGAATTAAGGCTTGTAAGTGGGATTTAGGGATTAATTATCAATAACTCAGGAATCCAGGGTTACTTGTTTGGATCTTGGAATATCTTATGCCTAGTCAGATTCTCTGATTCTGACTATATTCCCTTTTTAAGATTAGGATTATTTAGTCTTAAGTTTCGGTTGTTTATATTGGTAGATTTAGGGTCCTTTGAGAATTTGAGACACCTATATATGGCATATTATCAGTCTCAAGGATGTTAGCTTGTTATTGAAATCAAGTATTGAGAAAATTTAAATTATTCTTTCATTCTTTTCCATCATTTCTACATCTCTTTCACAGTAACAATCACACACCTTCGATCCAGCCTTTACTTCTCCAGCCTCAGCACCAACAGTTAAGATCTGAAACAAATATGAAAGAAAATGAACAAATTATCAAATCCAAAACACACAAAAAAATAAAAAAATTAGAGTACAAGTTTACAGGCAACACACCAAAGGCATCTATGTCTACTTACTTCTCCAACGAGATATCGCTCAAATTTAACAGCTGACTTGGGCAACAAAACTCCACCAACTGTTTTCTGCACCAAAAAATATATTCACATATTAGCTATAAAACTCAAGCTATGCATAGTTTCAAGAGACTGATTACATGAATTAAACCTGTGACCTCCAGGTCAAATGACAACAACAAAACAACAGTCTCACATCCATATGACGAGGGAAAAACTCGTAGGACCAAAAACGGAAGATATCTTGCGAGGAAAAATACAACAAAACAAAAAGAAAACAAGAAGAAATGTCTAGACAAAGTAGAATGCAAATGGCCAATCTCACAAGATATTATACAAACCACGCCTTCAAAGTAACCAATGGCTGAACACTGTCACCATATGGAAACCAAACATGAAATTCTATCCCTTATAGCAGACAGGTTGCCACCCTTATGTTAAGTATGCTTGTATGATCAATACAACTGAAACTTTAACAGGACCCATATGGTTATCGTGTCAACCATATTATTTTACCAACTTCATTATGCTGCTATAAAGAAATATACATTAAATACCCTAAACTGACAAAACTACATTGTCAACTAATGACTGATTCACCAACAACTATCATGTAAGCAAAAAACTCAGGAAATTCTTATGGACATTGAAGTCAAAACTCAGAACATATATCTCTCAGAGGCATGACAGCTTACCACTCTACGTAAATGTTACATATATGTCACGACGGCCCTTCCATCAACTTCCACTGGACTTCTATCACACACTCCCATTGAACTCCCAGCATAAAAATGATGAAATTATAAGGCTGATAATCATAGGTGACCTTAAGTCACTTATATGTCAATTATCATCGCAGAACTAGATCTGTATATCTCAAAGAAGTTTCAGATTATAGTAGTCTATATCTTCATACACAATTTCTTAACTTCTATGGCTATTATTATGCATGTGCAACTCATAATGGTGCATTTCAATACCAATTACCCATCCTACACTGCATTACGGGGCCTTGCTAAGGGTGAACATGAATGTTTTTGTTTCTACTGACAAAACAGAAAACAAAGCAGAGGATATTGAATGAAGAAAATCATAGAATATTTTTTATGTGCCTCGCATGTGCTTAGGTCACACAAGTGCACCAACCTGAAGCACACACAAGGGATTTTCCATTAGCAATATGCATTGGCACACCAACCACATCAAAATTCATGTAATGGCACAATCCCAAAGGGTTTCTCAAAATAACATCAATCTGCAACTTAGCCAAACAAAGAAGGCCCAAAAACGAGCCCAACATTTACATTAAGATAAGGAACATAATAATTTCTTATCAACATTTACATCAAAATAAACATCAATATGCTAGTAATTCCAAGACTATAGGCACCAAGGTTGAAAAACACTAAATGGAAGAAAAATTAACAGCTGGAATCAAATCCTGATAGCCCCTCCAGTCTAAGAATAAACAATAACCCAAATTAAAAAATTTGATTTTTGGTAAAGTTCATCGCTTACTTCTGATAGCTCCTCCAAACGAATAAGAACTCTATCAGCCTGAGGCACAACCTGCACCCCAAAATCATCAAAACTGAGATTAAAAAATTGAACTTTCAACCAATATCAACATCTACCCACCCATACACAACTGAAATTGTTCAAAAAAACCATAAAAAAAAAAAACCTTAGTGGGTTCCCATTTTTTGGCAACTGCATTGATCTTGAAAGAGTTCCTCTGCAAAACTGCACGAAACCCAGATAATAAAAGGTTAAGAAAATGTGAAAGATGAAGAAATAGGTGAACATAAATGAATGCTTTGATGAGTTGAAGATACATGGGAGTCTCCGGTTAGAGAAAGAGAGTGCACTGGTTTTGTGTAGAATGGGACTTGGTAAGGTCAAGAATGTGGAAGCCATGGATAAGAAAGAAGAGACCAAAACCAAAGCTCTATGCTGCAAAAGAATGGATAGGTAAGAGTGACTAAACCCTTCGTAGGTTTATGCCAAAAAAACAAAGAAAAGAACAAAAAGACAAACAAACAAACAAATTAAGAGACGAGAAATTACCAGAAGAGGTACTTTAAAGACACAAAATTGTATCATTTAAAATGACAAACACTAAACTCTTTAGACATGTTTGGTACATAGTATAAGATAAGGCCGGATAGTATAAGGCCTGATAGTACAAGACCTGATTGTGTTTTAATACTATCCAGTGTTTGGTATGATATTGTATAAAGATAATATCCTCCAATATTTTAAAAATTAATATATTAAAAAATTATTTTAATATATAAATATTAAAATGATATATTAGTTCTTGGAAATTGTACTTGTAAGCAATATTAATACATCAACCCCTTATCAGGCCTAATCCACCACTCCTAGGCCGGATTAAGTTATACATTATTTTGATGTATAAGGGGTCCTGCTGTATAAGCTTATACCATACGATGGTCACACCAAACAACTGAAAATGTCATAACGTATAGTATAAGCTTATACTATCAGGCTTTATATATCACACCAAACAGGCCCTTTGCCTTATTAGATACATTGTTTCCCTAGCTTTTCATTCTTTTACCTAGGGTGGCAATATAGGTTGAGCCCGACGGGTCAACCCTCCAACCTGCCAAAACGGGGCGGGTTAGGTTGATGTTTTCAACCCACCAACCCACCTCAACCTGCCCCGCCTAGAAGTGGGTCAAAACGGGTTCAACCCGCTGCGGGGCGGATTGATCCGCTGAGTTATAATTTTTTTTTTTTTATAATTAGGTAGTATTTTTATTAGTCCTTAAATTTTTGTGATATCCAAATTTTTTTTTATCTTAGTACTTCCTAAAAAAAATAAAGAATAATAACTTTATTTATGACAAATGTTATCTATATATAAGTTCCTAAAGAATATTTGACAAATATTAGTATACATTTAAGATTGAGACTAAAAAAATATGGAGAAGTGTGAAATAAAATAAAATAATATTAGAAAAATTCATAAAATATAATTTATTTTTGAATTTTAATTAATTTTTTTTTAATTGGCGGGTTGGTGGGTTGACCCGCCAATCCACCATAAAACGGGATGAGTTCATTTTTCCAACCCATATTTTTGGCGAGTCAACCCGTCCCGCCCTGTTTTTAGCGGGTTGGTGGCAGGACGGGGCGGGTCGGGGCGGGTCAACCTAAATTGCCACCCCCACTTTTACCGCCACCTCATATCCCATCAGAAATCACACATACCTCACTGGCTACCACCGCTTCCTCACCAAAAATTTCATCACTATGGCCTTAACGCAACTCACCTACGAAGCACCGATACACAGGAATTTTTTTCCCAACATATCGGACACTCGTCTTGTACCCATATGCTTTCAATATGAATATTACCGTATCGGATTGGCCCAAAAATACCTAAATGAGGAGGGGAGGAGCTCCACTAAGGAGGCGAGCAGCATTATCGACCTTGGGTCGCTTGGGGTCGAAGGGAGGAGCTCTATTATGGGAGGTGAGTGGCGACCTCTTGGGAGGATTGCTTCGTGAGCTCTATACCGGTGGCTGCGGGGGGAGGGATGCTGTTGCAGGAGGGTGGCGGTTGTATTAGCCCGTTGTATACCGGTATGTTATCATTACATATTATATTAAGCGCATTTACAATCACAGGAGTTGAATTAAAATGCTGTAAAACTTTTTCCTTTTTCATTAATAAACGCTTTCATTTTAGAACCCATTCCGTATTTAACCAAATTCAAAACTGTAATTATAGCTCATACACATTTGCGAAATAATTAAATCTAACTCATACATATCATACATTACTTATTTATTTTTGTCATGTGGTTCCCATAAACCGACAAGGCTGAATTCATAATTTTACTATATTCAACACTAGCAGCCTCTACGTTTTCCTAAATTGGGACTGACTACATGACCATAAATTCCCATATTTTATTATGTTATATTAGACCTCTCAAGATTTCTAGCACTGTATTACAAGCTTCAATAGGATATGTATAGCTCCAGATATGTTCGCCGTAAGTCAACAGCTTAAAACTAGTTTATAGGGAAACATGTTAGCAAACTAAACTTAAAACAGGGGAAGTTGTACTGCCCCGTTTATTCTTAAACTTTTATACAAAAAACTATACATCTATAGCTTTAATTTGATATATGATATGCCTCGTTTTGTTAAGGAACGAAGGAGATACGCCCAATCAAAGCTACTTCCCAGAAGCTGGCAGCAAGTCTGCAATTCTAAGCAGTGATCACTGCTTAGAGAAACAAGATAGTATACATTCTAAGCTTTTATTTGGTACCTCATCCATCTCACCTCTTAGAGAAACAAATGAGTTATGATTTTCTAAAGATGGAAGTGATTCCCAGATTCTATAGAAAAATTGGCAACATCATTTTGTATTTTCAATCTAAGGTCATTTAATCCAATCTTGTTACCTAATTGACATATAATGGCCACCCATTGCCTAACAAATAAGGAGGCTTTTACATCCAACAACAATTATCATATTATGATCGTTTCTTATTCCACAAATTATTTCCATTTGGTTACTTAAACATCAAGTTATCTAAGTTCCCAAATTATCATACAACTTCATCTTATTTCATGCATATGCCAATTACATTGTTTCTCTAATTATTTATTACTTAGCCATATCAAGGCATCACAATATACCAGAATAGGCCTAAATCTTTCATTATAGATATATCATAATATTGCATGTCTAGGTCTCAAATGAATATAAATCAAATTACATCATAATGTCCCAATTACAACTTGGACTTAGACAAAATATCACATGAACAAAACCCTCACAAGGTATGCATCCAAAATAACATTACATAATCATGTTCATATGCTAAGTCCCAAAGTGAATCCAAATATGCCAATCCCAAAATACAACGTGCATCCAAAATATCAATAATACACAACCCTATTCGGGCTTCTTGCTCAAGGATCCTCCAGAACCATCAGCAGTACCTAAAATGTGGTCCCCCCAAAAATGGGGTGAGGTTACAAATCTCAGTAAACCAAGGGTCGCTCCATCCAATGGTTCACTCAATATGCATAAATAATAACAAAGGAATAGTAAACATACATTATATACTAGCACAAAATATTTTCACACGGAGGTCATAATACAATTCCCACCCACATCACGAACTCACTAAGGTCATTACCATACCCACTGTGGAGGTCACACAACCGTACCCATTGTGGAGGTCATTACCGTTCCCATGGAAGATTTCAATCACAATTATCTACTGGCTAGAGATCACAAATACTCATAGTATACCATACATATAATTATCACATCCAATCAAATGCATAAGCAAACTATCTGACAATCAGTGTTATAAATCACATCATCTAACCATTCCTCCCAGTGGAGCATAGTGGAACACACAAGGGGATTAACCCCAAGACCATAAGTTTACCTGAAAGCAAACCTTCTCTTGACAAGCTTTCCATTTACCAAGAAAGCTCGCAATACACTTACACACCAAAGTTTACCTATACATGGTAACTATTCCAATCAACAATTGAAACCAATCAAAACCATTAATCAAATGGTCGTCCAATCAATACAAAACATTTACGAACTCAAATCCATAACTTACCAAATTCTTGTTGAACAAGAACCAATTCCCTTCGACACACCTAGGCAATACCTAGTCTTCCATCTAGCAATCCAATTGCTTCAATCTACAATATCACACAATCAAAGAATCAACACACAACTTGACATTACAAGTATCCAAATACATGATAATCATACTTTATTCATGCATAAATTTCGGCCATAGTCCCTAAGCAACCACATTGGTGATTTAAATTCCTTTTTATCATCCACATTGATTCCTTAACATATTATACAAAGGGAAAATCAACCAATTCATGTCATAAACCTCCAAACACATGAAATTTCAACACTTTCTCAAGTCCTATTTTTGGCCAAGACTCAACATAACCCCATTGGTTGTTTAATCCCATTTTATTCATTATTTCATCTCACAAACAATTACTCAAGCACACTGTAACACCCCGTATATATCTGGTTTGTTAACATGTCATCGTATTAAGCCTTGCTTAATTAAAATGCGAAATATCTTTTTCTTTCATTCAATTATGACGTCATTATACTTAGCCAAGTTGATTACTTAATCATTTTCATAAAAACATTGCCTGTATGTAATTGCAAAAGACAACTAACTGAAATACCTCGTAATATAAATAACAGTGCGTATCTAAAATCACGGAACTACAACACGTAGTCCGGACATAATCCTGATACATTATTACAACCCGAATCTAAATCAAGACATAGTCAAATAAATGTGGCATGGACAATCCCCATGCTCACCAAATAAGGAAACAAAGCCAACAAAGTCACAACAGCAACAACATAATCATAAAGCTAAAAACAAAATAACAACAGACATAATCTAGCATCCAACATAATCAGCATATAAACAACAATATCAATCAGCTAAGCTCCGGCCTCCTGCCGCCAGAGGTCTTAACCCCCGCACTACCTGAACCTGAAATGGTGCCCCAAACGTGGGATGAGATCTCCAAAAAGAAATCTCAGTAAGACAAAGGGTCCTAGAGGATCTTCCACCCCAAGCTCACTTACATGTGCAATATAAGTTCTGAAACAGTTTACACAGTATATATAAGTTCCAAAATTAGTGTAATGCACAGATAACCATGTCATGTGTGTCAATATAATCTACTGGCCAGAGAAATGCAAGAAATACGTCTATCTCCTACAATTAGTGCAAGACGCTACTTGCATCCACCCTAGTCTCACCATTTTGTATGGTGCTACATACTCAGGCTTACTGTCAAAGTGGAACAACACATGCATATTATAAGGCCCTTACACTTAACAATTCAACAGCATTCCAATCATCAAAGCATAAAAACACAGCATGCATATAAACCATTCCCTCATGGGGTATGGTGGAACC